GGCGGCGGGGCCTGCGGGGCCTGCGGGGCCTGCGGGGCCTGCGGGCGGGCGGGCTGGGCCCGGCCAGGCCGCGATGGCGACCAGGAAGGCGGGCTCGCGCCTCGAGACGGAGATCGAGCGCTGCCGCTCCGAGTGCCAGTGGGAGCGGATCCCCGAGCTCGTCAAGCAGCTGTCGGCCAAGCTCATCGCCAACGGTAGGCGCCGGGCGCGCCGGCCTGGGCTGCGGGGCGGGGCGGGGGGGCGCCGCGCTCTCCTCCGGGCCAGGCCGGGCCCCGGAGGCGCGGCGGGGCGCGGGCAGGGGCGCGGCCGGGATTCGCGTGGTCCGCGCCGGGGAGGTGCATGGGGCCGGGGCCTGGGAGCCCCGGGTTCCCGGACGTCACGCGGTCGGGGCATCCAGCGGGCCAGGGCCGTGCCCTGCGTCCCAGAGTTCCGGCGTGCGGGCGGGCTCCTGTGGGGTCAGCGCGTCCGGGGGCTCAAGGAGCCCGCTGCCGGAGCGGGGTCCCAGGGGCCCGGGCGGCCTTCGGGTCCTAAGAAGTTGGAGGCGATGGGGGAGGGCGCTCCCCCGGGCACGGCCGTGAAGTGTGCAGGGGATTACAGGGTGTGCGTATGCTGTTCGGGGGAGGGGGGGGTGTCGAACAGAGACCCCTGGGAAATATGGTTTGTAAACACGTGACGTTCAAGGGGCTCCAGGGGGAAGCTCAGACTTGGGGTATGTGTAGGGGGTGGTGGTGGAAGGTGGGTGAATGTGTGTCCTGGGGTTCAGAGAGTAGGATGTCAAAGCTGTGGACCTAGGGAGGTCGGGTTTGGGAATATAGGGGAAACAGAGTGAGGAGAGTCAGAGAGAGCATATGGTAGAGAGAGGTGGGAATGTAGTTGAAGAATGGGGTTGGGGGGCCTAGGGGCTTGGTGCCCAGAGGAGGAAGGGGTCTCTGTAGGAGTCTGGTGCTTGGAGTTAGTCTATGGCCCCGTTGACTGAATTGGTTCTTGTACCCAATCAAATCAAAAGTGCATCCAAAATCCCATTTCAGAGCGCAGCTCCACGTGGCCTTATTTGTTTTGGAAGCAAGTATCCTTAATATTTGCTGGTCTTTTAGTACCCGCCAAAACTGCGGGCACCAATGGACTGGTGAGAGGGCAGAGGTTTTGTGTTATTTCATCCCTGGCAGCTTGAGGCTGGGTGAGCAAATGTTGGCTGAACAAATGAATGAAAGAATGAATGAATGAAAGACACGGCTCTAAGAAAGGACATGGGGCTGTTTTCAACCTTTTAACCTCAAGCTACTCAGAAATGGAGAGGGATGTCAAGTGTCTTGTTCAAGAGTGGTTTATGATTGTGTCTTTTATGGTATTAGTGCCTTGAAATAAGAACTTGGTTTTGCACACTCTCAAACTGTGGTACCTTGCTTTGGGCAGAAGTTTCCCCCCGGGGGATGCAGGTGCCATGACTGTCCTAGGGGCATGGAGGGAAGCATAGACCTACCTGGGCTCAACTCAGTGGAAAATGTTGCCTCTTCTCCTAGTAAGCATTCGAGGAAAATGGTGTTCAGTCTCCTGGGCCCCGATGGCAGCTTGACCTTGCCCTTCCCGGAAGGCTCACCAGCGTCTCCTCTTGCTCCTTCTCTCGTTACCTGCAGCATTTTCTCATTTCTTCTTAGAATTGGACAGTCCTGGGTCTACTTTGTCACTTCCTGGCTGTGTAGGCATAAAATACCTTTAGCGCAGGTTGATGTTAGAGTTAAATGGGTTCATTTGTGAGCCTCCTAGTTCTTTCCTTCAGAACCCACTTGTTTTCTGCTTTCTTTACTCATTCATTCAACCAATATTTGCGTGCCCACCTGTGCCAGGAATAGAACAGAGGTGAGCAGCACTGACCAAGCTCCAACCCTCACAGACTGAACCTCTTCCGAGGAGACAGGCAATGGCAAATACAGAAATCAATAAATGGGATAGCTTCATAGTGAGAAGTGATTTGAAGAAAACAGACGAGGTAGTGGGATTGAGAGTGATGAGTAGGGGAGGAGGGGCGCCTCACACTGGGGTGGTCTCTGGAATAAGAGGGTAGATGGGCTTTTGGTGGCATAGGCCCATCCTACCTTCCCAGCCCCACAAGACTCGGCTCCCTTCCCAGGGCCTGAGCCTCAGTCATCATGGAGCTTTTGGGAGAGTGGGTTATGTGGGGCCCAGTGGTCGGTCCACGGGTCCGGGTGCAGGTTTGGTTTTGGGAAAATCATGAGAGAGGGATTCTGCCCTAGAACCCACATGGTTTGTATTGATGGCAAAGGTCACCTGGACTTGAAAAGGTCAAAGAGATTGCTCAGGAACATAACAAGATAAAGCAAAGAAAAAGATGAAACGAAACCAGAATTATTGTGGCTCTTCTTTGGGGTTCAGGGAAGTGTTTGAAGGAGGGTCCTTCGCTTCCTTTGGCTGATGGGGGCTTCCTTGTGCTGGCGGTAGGATTTCCTCCTGGCCTTGAGGGCACCAGCTCCCCCTAGACCCTTTTGGGTGAACTGGACCTCGAATTCTGGGCAGATTTGGCAGAATCCTTAAGCAAAAGCATTTGCTGCTTACAATCAGGAAAGCGGGTTAATGTCATGTTTGTCATTGTAAGACAGTTTGAAGGCAGCCACAGGCCGAAAAGAACACAGTCGTCTTTGGAACCGGGCAGACCAGTGCCTGAGCCTAACTCTATGTCCTTGGCCAAATCCCTTAACTAACCACTCAGAGCTTCAGTCTCCTCATCTTAGAATGGGGAGGAAAGGACTGAGTTTGCAGGGGTGGTTACGAGGATCACTAATGACTCCCAGGGCTCATCAGTCTGAGCCGTTAGTATGCAGCCCCTTCATTCATTCATTCCACAGACAGCGAGTACTTGCTACGGGCTAGGCACTGTTGTAGGCACTGGGGATATACCACTGAACAAAACAGACAAAAATGACAAATGTCCCTGCCTTTATGAAGTCCACATTCTAGCGGGGAAGGGGCAGGGAGACATAAATAAAAATCACTAAGTAAAATTTATAGGATGCCAGATGGTGGTAAGTGGTATCAGAGGGGAATCAAGAGGGAAGAGGCAGCAGTGCTTTGGGAGTGGGCGGGGGGTGGGGGGCACAAAAGTCACTAGTTTAACATGTGGCCAGGGAGGGCCTCACCTCCTGGTGAGGAGGAAGGCAACATTTAAGATAGGCCCTGAGGCCATGGAGGGGGCGTCAAGGGCAGAGGCCTGATGAGGGCAGAGGGGTGGCAGGGCCAGATCACTTGGGGCCTTGGAAGTCATGGTTACGGCTTTGGCTTTTCTCTGAATGAGGTGGGAGCCCAGGGAGGGGTCTGAGCGGAGGAGTCATGCGTTCCCAGTGCTCCTGCTGGCAGAGACCTCCCTGCTCAGCAGCATTTGCTTCTCCTGGGACGGGAGCATGACAACCCCTCCCAGTAAGGGCTTGAAACGGTGGACACTTTCAGAGCATGCTGCTCCAGCCTGACTCCTTTGAGATAAATTAAACAGTTTGGCCAAGAGGTGAATAAGGAAGAAAAGGGCAAACGCCAAGCTGAAAACAGACCTCGGAAATCCATTTTCTGCCTCATACTCCACTGTGAGTACCATTTTAATCAGTCCCATCTCAAACACAAACAAACAAACAAACACAGCCCCCGCACCCCCCCAAAAATGTGTGACAGCTACATGTCAGGCCCCTGTGAGTTCCGGCAAGACAGTGATCACACAAGTTAAGAAGGGAGGGGTGATGTGGGAGCAAATTTGACTCAAGTCTGGATTCTCGCTGTCTGAAGTGTGGTCAGCGAAGCAGCAGCTTGGGCATCACGTGGGAGCGTGTGAGGAATGCAGACTCTCGGGCCCCACGCCAGGGTCAGCACCTGCATCTTAACCAGGCATCCAGCAGATTTGTGGGCACAGGGAATTCTGAGGTGCCCTGGCCTGGAACTGAGGTGGCAGCCTGAGGGGGTTGGGGATAAAGATGGAGAACAACAGCACATCAGCTCCCTGTTGGCTCACAAGTCAGTTTTGGCCCTAGGAGGGCAGTCCCAGCTGCCCTCTCTCCCCAGAGTGTCACCCATTAGCCTCCCAATGGTGAGGTTCACTGCTGTGTGACAAAGTGCATGGCCTGGCACCTGGGCTTCGATCCACAATCTACCTGTAGCTGGGTGACCCTGAGCCAGTCAGTTAACCTCTCAGAGCCCATGTTCTTCATTGCCGTGATAGGGTTAATAATCGTCCTCCATTAAGGTGGCTGTGAGGAAGAAATGGGTTGATATATGCAAACCTTGCTACATGCAAAATGCTGGTATTGACTCCCTCCAGCCGACTCAGTGTAACCCCGGACAAGGCAGGCCACGTCCTGGATAACACCTGGCTGGGACGAAGAGTGGGAGCCCTAGAAATGACACACCTGAGCTTGTGCCTGGTCAAGACTCCCACATTTTTCAATAGCAGAAACAGGAGCCTGTACCAGCCCCAACAGACGGCCACTCCCTTTCTGAGGCCGTGTCTGCTTCTCCTTCCTTTCCCTGTCTGTTAATGTTAGGTAAGCTCAGTTACTTAGCTTACTTAGAACAATTAGGCCCCAAATGGTGGTTTCTCCTTTAAGGGATCATCACCGTTCTGATTGGGTATGATTTTGAGACATGTTAATTATCTCTTGGTGATGGGCAGGTAGGGAAATGGTGCCTGAAACAAAGAATATTTCTGGGGCAGAGTTTGGTTACAAAATGTATGCAGACCATTGAGTGGGAGTGAAGTTCTTGCATTTGCCACTAGCTGATATTCCCAATGGCCTTGGTGCCTCCAGCCTGGTGGCATCCCCCTCTGGAAGTGGACTGAGTTCCTGGACAGCTCCCTGGTCTCAGGCCTCTGGAGCCTTTCCTGCCCATCTAGGGGCTTCTTTGGAAACAAGGCTGATGTTTAACGGAGAGTCTGCTGTGGGGTAGGAAAGTGGCACTGTTGTTTAGAATGGCTTCTTTGGACGTTCCCAGGGTGCTGCAGACTCCTGGGAGTCAGACTCTCCCCAGACAGTGGGGAAGGACAGTGAGACCTTGATGACACTCCACCCTAGCCTTCCCAGGGCAGCCATCCTCTTTTCAAATCCTCAGTCTTGTTGTCCTCTGAAGGACACACCTTTGTGGCAGACCATATGTCCTGATTTTTGGATTCAAAAGAGTCACTTATTTGACAATAACATAT